CATTGAAAATTAATCCAAAGAACTTTGATGAACTCTGGGACTCCAGCAAAGAATGTTTTCTTTGCCATTCCAGATGACTTTACTAATAAGTTATTTGAGTCATTGCAGAGATGTATAGATGCAGTCCTCCAGGCTCATGAGAGTCAATATTCTTTTCCACTGCAACATGACTTTATATTCTATACTGTATATTATGTCTGTTAATTTACAAGACTTTTATCTAAGCAAAGTCAGACCTTACTGTCCTAATAAATAATGAAAAATCAAAGCATGATCATATTTTATTTTGGTAAAAGAAGCGTAATTTAGAGGTCTTTGCCTTTCATATAAGCCACTTCTGATTCCAAATGATCAACACTTGGATAGGCAACAAGACTTTTGTCAGGTAGTGTATATTATTTCATGGTCTTTAACTTGCTATAAAGATTAAATTAAATATATATTACTGTAAATGTATGGGGTTTATACAAAACTGCTCATATTGTAGTAGTTGCTATAATTTAAAGTTAATTAAAATGTATATTCTACATAATCTTTGATATCTGTAATTAAAGATGCATTATGCACTGAATATCAAATCTCCGGTTGATGTCACTGGAGCTGTTGAAAAATATTAATGTGGAAAAGATGTGGCAAATTTATTAATGCTAATCCACAGTCACTCTGCAAATATTACACGTGTCTCTCAGCGATGAGCCATTTGAAAACTCTGCTCATAAAAACATTTCTAAATGCAGACGGTTTATTGGATTTTTAATACAGAAATCTGTTTAGTCTCTTCTCAAGTATATACATTTTTACAATAAATAAATTAATAATACAATAAACATTAAATAGGAAGCCTAAAAAAGAAATAAGCCTGCTCAAAGTCCTGTCTGATTTAAATATGAAAAAGAATTCATTAAGCCATTTATAATGCTAACAAGACCATGCTTGAAGGATGCTGAATAATTTATTGTCAAGGTTAAACTGACAGTACATCAAGAAAAGCTTTTAGCTGCTTAGCTATGCTTGTCAAAACATTTCACTAATGCTAATGATAAGACATCTATTTCTGCTTAAGACAAAAGTAATTAAGAAAGCTTTGTGGTAGCAAACAAAATCAGACTTAATTCCCCTTTGAATCCGCTCTCACTAGTAAATAAATCTACCCTGCAGACATGTTGTACTGCCATTTGTCCATGAAAGAAACATTTTACCTCAATTATTACATCAAAATGATGGGAGCATTTAGAAACCCCTGGAGGAAGATGTTCATTTAGATTCAGCACACAATATGTTACGCAGAACTCATTTTTCGTTCCACTGCACTGGTAGTTAATCATTTTTTAATGTAAAACATACATTAAAGGAACATCTCTGACCTTCGTCTTTGTCAGCGTCTGACAGAAAGCTTGTGTCTGGTACCTTTTGCACATCTCGCAAATGACATGGCATTTAACAATATGGCACTGCAGTTTAAAGAAATTCAAAGTATATATTTCTCAAGACCTTGCATTCTTTTTTATTTCTCTGTGTCAACACATTTTTTCATTGCAAAAGCTATTCTTTCTAAATGGCCTCATAAAAGAATTCCTGTAAACACCCACATTTTTTCAGCATCTTGAACATGAGTACAGTGTTACTCAGTGCCAAACTAAAGCATATTTTTGAGAAAACAAGTCAACACTGACTTTGGTGTTCTGGGTACAAAGTGGAATAAAATCTTAGAGGAATAGTTCACCGAAACTTTTAGAACAGGCTCATTATAAATAAGTTCTTTAGCCTACATTTTTGTGAAAGCAGAAAAAAATTACTTAAGCATACATTTGACTGCAGTTTCTAAGTAAAATGAACTGTGCAGTATGATACAAACAACTTTTGTCCCTTTTCAGATAAATGATATTTACAGGGATACATAATTGAAAAGCAAATACAGCGGGCGAGCGACTTAACATGCTGCAATTAAAGAAAACACATGCAATTACAAAAAACAACAGCAAATTGAGAAAAGATCTTCATCCGTTTGACAGCACACGTGCTGCCAGTCGTCATAGTGCATTTTTAAAAAACACGCTTTATATCAATAAAAATAATAAAAAATTAAACGATACAAAAGGTTGAGTCCAGTTTTCTGGAAATAAAAGGTAATCTTAATTCCTTACCTAAAAGAAAAGAAATGGGACTAAGACAAGCTATTGTGCTGGGATCAAAACGTGCTTCACACAAAGCAATCAATTGATAAAACATGCTGCATTTTCTCACAACACAAAAACAACGGAAATTTTTTAAGGGGACCCAAAAATGTGATGAACGCCGCTGTATCTTAAACTGCCTACTACCCAGTAGATTGCAGTAGATAAGCTGCATTTGAATATAAATGTACTACTCGGCCATTAGAAAAGTATGTTCTATACAGTATATATGTAAGCTGTATGAATGGAACTCGCATGTACTACATTGGCCATTTTGTCATGATCACGTGTCTTACCCGCGTGAGTTGCGTCACTTCACACCCATTCAAGAATTCTCTCACAAGGCATCATGGGATAGCATAGTGTCCATCCGATGCGCACTTCAGAATCTCGCCGGAAATAGTAAATAATCCAGGTACTTCTCGCATATTTATTTTCAAATTCTATGAATTTGGACATACTACTTGTCTCGCATACTGATTATGTGTACTGTATGGAAGCATGCGATTTCGGATGCAGCCTATTGCTCAGTGAAGTTGTAAGTGGTCTTTGAAAGGTGAGTTTTTTTGTTTGTTTATTTTAATATCCCAATTCTTGTGTCTGTAGGATTTATTAGCATAAATAACCATAACCTAAATAGCCGGGTCCATCACGTTTTAGGGTCTCCTTGAAACATTTCCGTTGTGTTGTGAGAAAATGCAGCATGGTTTCATATAATGTTTGCATTGTGAGAAAATGCAGCACATTTTGTTAATTGTTTGTTTTGTGTGAAAATGCAGCACGTTTTTTTAAAATGTTTTTGCATTTTGTGCATGTGCACTGTCAAAAAGGTCTTTTCTCAATTTGCTGGCTTTTTTTGTTGTTGCGCATGTTTTCTTAAATTGCAGCACATTAAGCTTTCTCGATCACCGTAAATAAAGGATTATTTTCACCCCAAACAACTTAAAAGTGTGTATAATCTGTATGACAAGCTCCACCTTCTCTTAAATGTGTAGAAATGAGATCTGAACTGACATCAAAACCATACCTAAAGTAATGCAATTAATGCTGGAAAAATAACTTTTGTTTCCTGTTCAAACGACTTGTTTAAAATGAGTTGAAACAACACAATTCTTCATTTTTTGGGACGTCGTAATTGTTTCATGTTCAGTCCACTTAAATTTGTAAAAATGATTACGTAATCGATTTGTGTTGAAACAACATGAAAGAATTGTGTGGAACAGTTTATACAGTGAACAAAATGTAGACAGCGCCCTCTAGTTGATTTGCCATCTGAAACAAAATGCAATAAAACGTACCCATTCCCTTTAGGAAAAATGTAGGCTAAAGCACATATATACAACGAGCCTGGGCTGGATGTTGAAAATCAGTAGCCATAGACAACCATGGTAGGAAAAAATATAGGTCAAGGGCAATCATTTTTCAGAATATCTTCTTTAGTGATTAACTAAAGCTTTTAAATATCCATTGCATGTTTCATTTGTTAAGTATATTAAAATTACTGCATATTTCAGAAAATTGGTAGAGAGCTTGGGACAATTTTTGGAGCATTTTATAATTTAACTATAGACTGTTTTATGTTTTATTTTTTGCAAACATCTGGTTATGGTGACATTTTTAGTCAGGCTTTTCAACATAGTTTATTAAAATTATACTATTATGTGATTTGTTATGAAGTATATTTGATACTCCCATCTATATTGTTATGACTGTGTCATGTAAGTTTGATTGAATCACTTTTCATTGCAAAACACACTGACATTTCAATACAGAACGGTTCTTTCAGCATTATCCTGAACAGTTTAATTGGTTCCATTTTTCTTAAGTTGGTTCATAGACAACATATGAAGTCGGGGAAAGCCTTTTTTTACTTTTTGTTGTACACTCACTGTCTACAAATTGTGAATATAGCCATGTAAAAATGAAAATTGTATCTCTTGACCTTTTTTTGTCATTCCACTACCCTGGCTCTTGCAAAGAAAACTTGTTCAATGTTAATTGCTTTTTGAATAAATAGTTGTGTCTCTTAAGCTGCATTTCATGCTTAATTTTTCAATCAAAATATTTCATGTTCCACTTGAATATTAAAATAATATTATGTTATCATAAATCATAAAATCATAATGACCCTGTCATCCTCAACTCCATTGGCACATGTTTGCCAGTCCTCAGTTTTTCCAACAGTATGATAATCTCAGTGCTTTTGCTGACAGTTGCAGCATAAAATATATCATTCTGGGCAGTGAACAGCAGTCATTTGGTCTTGAGAAGTGGTGCGTTTTGAGAGTGTCTGTAGCTTTTGATTACACCTTTTCAGGTCAAGCCATGCTGCAGATTGTTGAGATATAAATACAGCCGATGAAGAGCGCTTTGGAGTGCTCGTTTCATGAGGAAGTGTGTACAGGGAGGTGTCGTGTATATGTCAAACACAATGGATGAGTCAACAGTTGCCATGTTTGATTTAGTCAACATCCTCTCAGGCAAGCTCCTACACATCTCTCCGCTGGCAGAACATCCGTTTGGTTCCCCAATGTCCAACTCAACGCCCTGGAAAATGAGCTTTCCATGCGCAACTTTTGAAAGCGCAATCTACAAATGCGCACAGCAGGGGCACCAAAAGAGTTGGTTGCTCGAAGGATGTAAATATCAAATTATAGTTTTAACGCAGTTGTAATTCTAATTCATGTGTGCCTTTGCTGTTCTTTGTCCTCTAAATGCTCTTTTGCATCACATTTAAATATTTGTCACGGCTCAGTGAACTGAATATTACCCTTGTTAATGAAGGGGCTTCAGCAGCCAGACAGTTGGCATGAATTCACGCTTTTCTCATTTCCTCTCAGTGTTGCTTTCCTCTGTGGCTACAAATTTGATTTCTGCATTGGCCGTGCGGGAGGCCACGCTGCTGTCCCGCACTTTGTGTCTGAAGAGGAAGGGAAAGGTCTTCCTGAAAGACTTGCGGAAGCTGGCGCCCATAAAGCCGTAGACAATGGGGTTGATAGAGGAATTGGCATAGGACATGCAGTTGGCCCACGTTTTGATCTTATATGTTGCGTAGTTGGCCTTGAAGTTAGGATAGAAGGATTGGAACAGAACAAAGATCTGAATGGGGCCCCAGCAGATGGTGAAGAGGACAACTATGACCACTACCATTTTGGATATCTTGCTCCGGATGGAGATGGTTCTCTCTGAGAGAAGATGGACCTGAAATAAACAAGAGTTTATTGAGATTATAGTGGGAAAATGGGTCTGATATGTACACTTAACTGATCAGTGACATTCTTTAAAATTCCTATGTCTATATTAGGGGTTTCCTAACTTTTCCAGTGACCCGCGACCCCTAATATCCTCTGAGGGGGTTACACAAGAGTACACGAAGGCTACAGTATAAAAAAGGCAGTAGTTTTCGGTTTTCCAGAGTTTATGTCATGTTTAAAAGGTGTGTTTGTGCATGAATTTGCGCGTCTAGATGCATGCATGTCATGTGTGAGAGACGGACTGAAAGAGCGTGATGATGCTTGATTTGTTTATTTATTTATTCATTTAGTTATTTGGAGATAATAAAAAAAATATGAATACAACAAAATGATATAAAACTTGTATTATGTCATTTTAGCTAACAGTGTAGATAAAATATTTGTTAAGAAAAGCATACAAAAATATTATATATTTATTTATATATATATATATATATATATATATATATATATATATAGATAGATAGATAGATAGATAGATAGATAGATAGATAGATAGATAGATAGATAGATAGAATAAAATATAAATAAACCAATATAAAACAAACAAAAGCTACATCAAATTGGTCATACAGCTATATTACTAATACATTAAAGCCAGTCTTCTTTTTCCAAAGGATCAGAATTATTTTTTTTTAAATTATTTTCTAAAAAAAACAATAAGCAACAGGAGTTTTTGAATATTGTGTAAATTATTTAGATAATACTATGATTTTTGTGCACTATGAATTACCGGAATTGTCAATATGAAGGTCGCTAAAACTGAACTTTAAAAAATACATTGAAAAGCAAATTACATAAGAGAGATGACTTTAAAGCTTAATATATTTTCCTATTTCCCCCCCGCACATTAGACAATCACTATAGGATTTAGCAAACCTAATTGTTCTTAAAATCTACAAATATATGTATTTACAAGATATGTGTGTGCGTTTTTACAGCTTAATGCAAGAGTTGAAGCAAATAATGGCATATATTTTGAGGAATGCTGTCACAAAAACATATATTTCAGGCTGCAGATATTACAAAATCTCTCTGTAAAATCCTGGAGGGACTGTTTAGAATGTGTTCTTTCTTTTTTTAGCAAAACAATTCATGAAATCGTTAGTAAATAGTAATGATCTTTTTTTTTTTTTTTTAACAATGAATTACAGATAAAACCTACTAACATGTCATCCTGTGTAACGATATTTACTTAGCATACAAGATTTATTGAACCATGTTTAGAACAACCATCATTCGATGACATACTAAAAAGCTGCATTTAAGAATTTTGGTGTAGTACCAAAATAACAATTAATTGTTATTTTACATGAATATATTCAACCACTACGTTTAACTCATTTGCCAGCAAGAAGTTTTTTTTTTATCTTTTATATATCACATACTGTATCTATACATATCACATATTCCACAGAATTTTGCAGAAGTAAAATGACTCATTTTAAATGAGTTTTTTGTGATGCTGACAAGAAATTTGGACTTTTTTCTGACTAGTAGTTATTTTAAGAATATTTAAAGACTTCAAACCCTATCTTTTATAATGAAAATGTTTTCCATATTTGAATCTAAATTATTATTTGCTGCTGTCTCTTATGTATTCAATCATTAAAACTGTTATTTTCTTTTGCATATGTTTAGTTAGCTATGCACTTTTATTTGTACCAAATATAACACACAATTTGTTGTAAAACTTTGATTCCCTGAGTTAATAAATAAGCCCTTTTTTGATTCTGGATAAAAGTCATTATTCATGTAGTAAATCTGTCAGCTGTGGAAATGAACCGTGCAGACTATTGCAAAAGATTAAAAGTAAAGATAAGATGACAAAGAAGATAATGAGACAAAAGAACATCCATTAGGAAAAAGGGAACAAAACAAACTCCAAGTTATTTCCACAGAGATCATTGCAGGTTTAATTATAAGGAGTTAAAAATCACATCTAACCACAATAGAACTCCTCAAAACTTGCTTCAAGGAAAAAGACGTGTAAACTATTGCAGTATGGTGACTCAGGAACTGTGAGTAAGAGAGAGGTCACTCAACTGCAATGTGGGAAAAAAAAATATATATATATATATTTTCTCAGATAAAACAGAGCTTTTAGGAGCTTTTAGGCTGAATTTCAAAGAGAATGTGTGGCAAAGATAGCACTGCCTACGTCTCAAAAAGCCAGTATATCTACAGTAAAGTGTGCTGGTGGCTGCATCATGCTGTGAGATGGTTTCACATTGACAGCGAATGGATCTTTTGTCAAAAAGGTTAAAATGACAGTGCAAAAAATAGAAAAATACTGAGAAAAAAAAAAAGAATTTTTGCCACTGCTTGCAAATTGTGAAGTACAGGTGACTAGGTTTATAAGGGTTACCATACAGTTAAAGTTTTTTTTTTAAAGTTTTTTTTTGTTTTAAATGTTTCCTAAATGATGTTTAAAAGAGCAAAGAAATTTTCTCATAAATTGTCTCATAAATTGACTGTCTTTATTTTTTCTTCTAAAGACAGTCTTATTTGTTTTATTTCGGCTAGAATAAAATAATTTTAAGGACAAAATTATTTAGCCCGTTTATGCAATTATTTTCTTTCCGACTGTCTACAGTACAAACCATCATTATACAATAACTGGTCCCACTTTATATTAAGTGTCCTTAACTACTATGTACTTACATGAAAAAATAAATACAATGTACTTACTGTGTTTATAATGTATTTGAGAACACTTGTGGTGCTTTTGAGTTGGGATAGAGGTTGGGTTATAGACAGGTTTGGTGGTATGGGTAGGTTTAAGGGTGGGTTAAGGTGTAAGGGATGGTCAACAGTGTATTTACAAATGTAATTACAAAAGTTAATTACAGATGTAATTACATACATGTATTTAATCAAGCATAAGTACACAGTAAATACATGTATTTACACAATAAGTACATTGTAACAAACTATTAGTTCCTATGTAAGTACATATCTGTTAAGGCCACTTAATAACGCCTATTTACCCTAACCTGTGTAGTTAACCTAATTAACCTAGTTAAGCCTTTAAATGTCACTTTAAGCTGTATAGAAGTGTCTTGAAAAATATCTAGTCAAATATTATTTACTGTCATCATGGCAAAGATAAAATAAATCAGTTATTAGAAATGAAATATTAAAACTATTATAGTTAGAAACGTGTTAAAATAATCTTCTCTCTCTTAAACAGAAATTAGGAAAAAAATAAACAAGGGGGCTAATAATTCAGGGGGGTTAATAATTCTGACTTCAACTGTACATTTCCGTTTATGTTCATAATAAAAACATATTTATTTAAGTATAACAATGTAATTTAATATATATATATATATTGTCCTGTCTCTCTAATTGTTTATTATTGCTATATTTGTGAAGCGCTTTGTTCAACATTCATGTTGTTTTAAGGTGCTATATACATAAAGTTGACCTTGACCTATTTCATTGGAAAGCATAAACAAATAAAGTGTGCTTTCAATAAAATGTAAGTCACTTCAGGGAGAAATGTCTGCGAAATCCATAAATGTAAATTGAATGTGTGATGCTTTTAGTTTCATCTGTTTTCAGCTATTTTTAGTTGTTTAGCAGCTTCAAATTGCAAACTGATATTATATTTGAATTCATTATCATATTAGCACAGGGGCTGGGCACAACGGATTATATCGTTTGTTATTCAACATCTAACTGCTAAGAAAGCAGAAGTCTCACATATTTAAAAAAATATATACACTCACTGGTCACTGTCCAACTGCTAGTTATTGCAATTTTTCAATCAGCCAATAATATGGCAGCAACTCAGAGCTTTCAGGCATGTAGACATGGTCAAGAAGATCTGCTGCAGTTCAAACTGAGCATCAGAATGGTGAGGAAAGCTGATTTAAGTGACTTTGAATGTGGCATGATTTTTGGTGCCAGACGGACTGGTCTGAGTATTTCAGAAACTGCTGATCTACTGGGATTTTCACGCACAACCATCCCTAGGGTTTACAGAGAATGGGCCGAAATATAGAAAATATCCAGTGAGTGGCAGTTCTGTGGGCACAAATGCCTTGTTAATGCTAGAGGTCAGAGGAGAATGGCCAGACTGGTTTAAGCTGATAGAAAGGCAACAGTAACTCAAAAAACCACTCGTTACAACCGAGGTATGCAGAAGAACATCTCTGAAGACACATGACAAACTTGAGGCGGGTGGGGTACTGCAGCAGAAGATCACACCGGGTGCCACTCTTGTCAGCAAAGAATAGGAACCTGAGGCTATAATTTACACAGGCTCACCAAAATTGGACAATAGAAGATTAGAAAAGTGTTGCCTGATCTGATGAGTCTCGATTTCTGCTGCAACATGAAAGCCAACAAAACAACTGCGTGATGCTATCATGTCAACATGGACCAAAATCTCTGAGGATTATTTCCAGTACCTTGTTGAATCTACAGCATGCCCGAAGGATTAAGGCAGTTCTTTAGGCAAAAGGGGGTCCAACCCGGTACTAGTAAGGTGTACCTAATAAGGTGGCCAGTCAGTGTAGGTTCGATATGGTTTTTTTTAATATTTTAGTTTCAGTTTAGTATGTTTTTCTGTTCTGTTTTCTTGGTTACCATTGTAGCCAAACGTGTACTTTCAGTTGGGTTTATAGTCGCTTGTTGTTTCATTGATTATGTCCACCTGCACCTTGTTTGGATCATCAGTTTAGTTGTGTATTTTAGCTCCTAGTTTTTTGCTGTGTACTGTTTGATAGTAGGTTTTTTGCTTTGACAGATTGTGGCTTAAAGTCTCTCTGTAGTCATAGATTTTATCTAATAAATCTAATTTCTTATCATCACATGACATGGAAACACATTGAGCATGTATGCAAAGTAATGCAATTAATCAAAATTCAATTTTAGCTTCCAACGATCGAAAAAAAATAATCAAGATAAAATGATTGTTGTGCGAGATTCCATCCTCTTTCAAGCAGTTCACATTCATTTCTCTGCAAAGGCCAGTTTAATGTGGAAATCAGTAAAATTGTGTAGCATGACTTTTTCAGCATGCAACGTGGTTGATTTATTGAAGTGTAATTGATTTATTCTTGGTTTAAAGAGACAGAACAGGCAGAACATGGACAGTCATATTTAGCTCAAGGAGCATGCCTTAGTCAAATACTAGCAACAAAAAATGTGACAGCAAGCTATACTCCTGCTTTGACTGAAGGACATTTGTAGCTTTAATAAACAAATTGAGCTTACATTTTTCATTTATGTATTTAAGTGAGCATTTGTATATTTTCATTGTAGCTTATTTTTTTATTATTTTCAATAAATTTGACCTCTTTGGTTTTGTTTGTTTTTTTGCTTGTTTGGTTGTGTGTTTGTTTGTTTGTTTGCTTGCTTGTTTGTTGTTCCACTATATTTTTAGTTTCCCATTCTGCTGTGGTTTTGAGAATTGTGAAGCTGTATAGGTGTTTTAGCAACCTTATTTACTGAAAAAAATACTTGATTGTATCTTTAAATAATCAGCCTACAATGTTTTGTTCATGGTGCACTAACAATTGTTTTAAATAATTGTGATTATGATTTTCCCCCATATAATCAACCAGCCTTAATGTTAATAATCTTTTGCCTTAACTCATGCGCAGCACTGACAATCTGCTCCACTGTCACTTTTTGTGAAAAATAAATGCTGCACAATGGCAAGTAACAATTTGGATTCATTTCGGCATATGTTTGAATCCTAAATCCACTGAGAAGAAAATGAGTGAATTATACAAGGCCTATTAATATATTTTTAGTATTACTTTTAATATCAGACACATAAAGTTATGATATCAGACATCATTAACCTTGGCTAGACCATGCTATTAAACAGCTAATGTGTTGTTAACGTTACACAAAATGTCTTCCTGTGTGCTGTCCGATTAGATTACTGTTGTTGTTTTTTTTTTTTAATTTTGGTAGCAGTTTATCTTGATGGTCCAGTTATGTATTAGTACTGTCTGCTTAATATCTGTTGATGCTGCTCTTTTAACAGACATTTAACTGAATATAGGAAGCTATAACAGACTATAACAGAATAAAAGAAATCAATAGTTAATATCTCTTGGGAGCATATACACCTGAATTATAGATTAAAGCACACAAAGCCCTTTACAGTATATCCGTTCAGCAGGGTGTCATCACTGATGGTTGTTATCTGCAATCTTACCTGATGGTTGTTATCCACTGGTTCCACCGAAGCCTGTCCCACTCTTTTCAACATGAAGGAATAACAGAAAGAGATGGTAATGACAGGCAGTAGATACACAGCTATGAACTGATAGAGGATGAAAGCTTTCTCATGGGTCTTTGATGGAAACCTTTCCATGCAGTATTTTCTTGGTCCATACCAATAGCCGTCTTCCAGCCTCTGGTACAGGAAGATCGGTATGGAAAGAATGAAGGAACCTTTTTGCATAAGAGAGGGGAAAATGATCAATTTTAATGCTTCTTCACTTATTTAATACTTTAAATATAAAGGAGTATTCTGGCTTGAGTGCATGTGGATACTGTTACGGACATGCAAGGAAAGTGTTTAAAACCTTTAATGTGGAACTTGATTTTTGTGTGAAAGCATTTACATGAAATCTTCAGTGTAAAAGTAACATTTTATTTGTCTAAACAGTCCTTTAGGACAACTTTTATGCATGGTAAAAAAACAACCCTGGCTCATTATGAATATGTACCCCTGTATACATTTCTGCAGAGCGCAAAATATGTTCTTGAAAATCCACCAGAGGCCACTGTATACACTTTTTCAGATCTCAAATTTCTCATTCGTGTCCGCTTTTCTCACATAAATCCACCAGGGGCTGCTGTTGACCCACTGACCGACCGATAACCTCACCCATCCCCTTCCCTAAACCCAACCGACAGTGTTTTTTAAAAGCAATCGTATGTGGTGAATCACTTGGCAAAATTGTAACAGCGAAAAAGCTGGTAAGCTGGTAGCGCGAAACGAAACAGAAGCCGTCAGTGGCATCATACCGCTCCATAGTGTTTTAGGACAAAATGCAACCATACATACCTCTGGCTTCATAATTTGCACTCTCTGGAAATGTATACGAGGCTACATATTCACAATGAGCCTGTGTTGCAACAAAAGTTACATTTAGAGTGAAATTGAATCTGTAGTGCCAATATTTATTTTATTGTAGCTTTATAATAGACTGATTAACTTGGCAATGAGAAATAAATATGATAAATCAAAGTTAGTCACAAGCAACTTCCACAAGGATGTTAATAATATAGAAAAGGTCCACAGAATCACAGTCTAAGAAATGCAAAAAAAAAAAAAAGGGGGGGGGGGTTATATAATAAATGTGTGTTTGACCTTTTACAGTTACTCACCATATTGGAAATAAAAACTATGAACCATTTTATCAGGAAACATTTACTGTAGCATTTTTAGTCTGTTAATAATTCACGCCTTCACCCTTTTGTATTACTCCACCACAGTGCTTAATTTGTGAATCGCAAAGTGCTGGAACAGATCGGGGTAACGGATCTGTCGAGCTACCCAAGGATGTAGAGGTGTCGCGCACGAAAGTGGAGAGCGGATGGGGGGTGCTGTGGTGGGGGTGGGGGGTAGTAGAGGAATGTCGCGGACGTAAGTTAATAGCCAGGGCAGGAGTTGGTTGTCGCAGACGAAAGTGAAGAGGGTTGAAGAGTCGTGGAACTAAGTGAAAGTGAACAGTGGATGGGGAAGGAGAGCAGGTGAGGAGGGGGATCGGTAAAATGAAGTGCCAATTAAGCCCTGCTCCACCCACATACAGCGACAAGCAGAAGACACTTTACAGTTTGACAAATATTGCAGCTGCTGGACAACATAATGTTCTTTTGAGGCTTTTTAAGAAGAGAATGTAGTGGTTTAGATTGAAACTATGCAGTTTATTTATAAGGATAGTGACTATTTTAAATTATTTATAATTTCTGATGGACAGTGCTTCGGCGACCATTAGCCTTTCTGAGCAGAGGAAAGACGGTTGACATTGTCCATCCACACGATGGTGACAGGGACTGCATAATAAGCCCTTAGACGTGAAAAACAGTGTAATTTCTAACTACAGCTGATCAAATCATTATTAAACTGGTAAGAGACATTTTAAGTCGATCTCTCTCTTTTGTATATTGTAGTGCTGTATTTAGACCATGTAACTGTAGTGTATTGAGTGTGAAAAGGGACGTATCAGGAATGTATGTATTTTGTGTTGGCCGCTCTTTGTACTGTATAACGCTGAGTTTCTTTTTGGTTTGCCATCTGTTTGTTTCTAATGCATCCCCTGTTTTCATTACTGCAGACTAATTTAGTAAAAAAAAAGGAAAGAAGAAATGCCCGCATGTGTTTAGCGTTTTTCATTATCGCAAACACAACAACAATCTGGTAGTGTTGGTGCTGCTTTGGCTTTTTCGAGGATAATCATTGTGGTCTCCTGATTGCAACAGAGAAATACTGGGAAATCTCTGTAGACTGATGGCATTTCATGTTGTTCATGAAGTTTGTTGGCGATGGACGATGGCATCGTCTATCGACCAAACCCTATAAAGTAGCAATGGTTTCTGATGTTCTAACGTCAGCTGCAGATGTGAATGAATGGTGAAAGAAAGTAGTTCCTCTTACAAAAGGGTTTTTAGACTCTACATGTTTGATTTTCTTTTTTATACACGCGATTATGTCGTCGAACTGTTGTATAAATGCAATATCACACTCGTAGCAGTGCGATGTGGCTGTATATCATCACATATGGGACACTAAGCACACCTCCCACCTGTGCAGATACAGTATACATCCATATCGCACTATTCGTCTGATATTGCTCATATATATGATATAGTAAATGTTATCTGTTAGAACGGTTGACCATTTTTCTTGCATGGTTCCTATGGTACTGTAAAAAAATCTAACTTCTATTATGAATACATATTTATTTTAAGTGTAAAAAGAAGCTTGATAAATATAAGAATAAAATGTGTTTTAGTTTTGATAAATCAATTTCTACCAATATCTGTGAACTTCTTGTGCAAAATACCAAAAATACAGAAAATAATTGGGTTTGTCACATAGCCAGCATGAAGCATTATCATGTGCGCCAACACTCATAGACTTCCATAGCATACTAATTCTAAAGAGATCAAGGCAAACATGGAAAACAATGATATAATGAATAGAGTGTCTATGGGCCAGGCACACACATTTAATGTGTAAAATACATTAGATTGATTTTTTGACAGCTTATTTTTAAGGCTTGTAACAACTTACACATCACTGTGACTAAGACACGATGGCAATGAATTTTTAAAATAATTATTTTAAAAAATCTTATTATATATCTTATTAACTATATATTTAATTAATCTTATTATTATAACATATAGAATGTGTATTATGTGAAAAACAGCTATCCCACCAGGTTCTTTCTAATTCATGTTGCTTATATTCAAAACTGTGTTCAAATTTAAACACATTCAATTTTAAACTCGTCCCATATAATTAAATGTGTATTACTGTAAACATGTTTTGGGTTATTACACTAATTTGTTTCTTGGGTATTCAACAGCAGATGCTGAGGGTAGTGATTAAGTTGGATTTACATTTTTAAATTGAAGCAATTATTGCTGTCTCAGAGAGAATACAATCTTCTGTTGGTTATAAATATATGGGGAAGTGTCACCTTTGTTGATGTTAATATAACATTATAACCTTTTTGGAATTATATGGTTCTATCTGTACAGATTTGAGACATAGAGTTTCAATGTTTTTGCATGCAAACAATAAAATGCTAAACAAGTATATTTCATGCACAAAAAATTACATTCACAATGGTTTTTTTATACATGATATACTCTGATGAATTCTATACTATAATGAATTCAATATTGGGTCAAATTTTCAGTTAGATTTACAGTTGAAGTTAGGATTATTAATTTTTTTTTGTCTTTTTTAAATACTTCCCATATGTTTAACAGAGCAATGACATTTTTTATGAGTATGTCTGATAATTTTTTTTTTCTGGAGAAAGTTATTTTTGTTTATTTGTTTTTTTCGGCTAAAATAAAAACTGTTTTTAATTAAAAAAAAAAAAACATTTTAAGGTCAAAAGGCTTAAAGGCTAGTTAAACCTTTAAATATTAAGCTTTATAGAAGTTTCTTGAAAAACAACTAGTTAACTATTATTAACTGTCATCAAATATAAAATAAATCAGTTATTAGAAATGAGTTAATAAAAACTTTTCTCCGTTAAACAAAAATGGGGGTTGGGATAGACAGGGGGCTAATAATTCAGGGGGGGGGGGGGGGGGCTAATAATTCTGACTTCAACTGTAAATGACACTTTGTAAAACCATGATTAAGTTTGTCTATATATAACCCAATTTTGGTTTAAAACAAGCTAGCATTTTAACAGAGTCTAGTGTTGTAACAGTGTGGTGACAGTTAATGCTGATTTATTTCATATTTAAGGACGATCCCCACCTCCCACCTTGATCCCCACCTTGATCCTTGATGATCCCCACCTTATCTTTTGCAGATATATATTTTCACTTAATATAAAGCTTCATCTTGTCAAATCAAAGACATTTAAAGGTATAGTTCACCCGATGGTCTCATAACAATCATGTTTATGATTTGCCATGTTGTCCTGGTAATGTCAAGTTGTCATAACAAAGACATCTCAAATAATGTTACCTTTAACGGAGGGAATAACACTTAATGAAAGTTGTCATAAAATCTCATCTAAATCCATGACATGTGACATAAAGGATTTGGACAGTCTTATGAACACCCTTCATATAAATCAGCATTCACAAAGTAGTAATATGCCTGTGAATGTCAACACTGACCAAAATGTCAGATAGAACCTAAATTCTTCTGACTTTATGGTTATGTTTCTATGTTAGTTGTATGTAATGTACTAAATCACTTACCAATCCATATGCATATGCTAACAATCATAGCAACACGAGGGGTGCGATGGTGCAGGGATTTGAGAGGATACACAGTCACATAACATCGGTCTCCACTCATGGCCGTGAGAGTGATGCACGTCGCCTGTACCGTCACCTACACATCAGCAAACCTTATTGTTATCATCCATTCATATCATTATCAGCACATGCAAGACAGACATGCTTCAGGGCACCAGGGTAAACAGAAACGTTGGATTTAACTAATCTAAAATCTAGCACATCAAAGACATCTGCATAAAGCCTTTCAATACGGACCAGTCTTTAGCTCATCGCTTTTTGAATTAATTTGAGACTGAAAAAAAGAAAGCAGCCCCATTCATTTGTGGTTTTGTCTGGTGAATTAATTGAACTGAAGTGCCTGATTGCTCATCTTTAATTGAAAGAATCAGGTAGGAGGAGAGGCTTTAGAGAATAAAGTCAACCACATTTTTATGCAAGCCTAACTATCCCTGCGCACTTTGATGCAACAGGTGTGAACAAAGAACTGTTCCATCCCATCATCTTTTGTGTGGAGTAGCTAATGATTAAAGAAAAAAAAAAGGTGTGCTTGGGCTCAATCTGAGGAGACTGGTGTGTTTGACATGATAAGCCTCACAGCTGCATTTGGACAGAATATAAAGAATACAAAATTAGGAAAGACAAAAGCCACTGATAAATTTATGCATTTAATCTCCCTCCTACAGCAATTATAAATGAGAGTTAGCTGTTCATTTATACTGCAATTTAAATCAAGTAATACTTTACAATAAGGTTGTATTAGTGAATGTTAGTTAATGCATTAGTTAACATAGTAATGGTGAACAATGAACAACACATCTCTTAAGCATTACTTCAAGGTGCTGTATGTAAGGTTTTGACTCTTCTAAAGCATAAAAGTACCATAATATGTTCGCAGATAATTAAGAAACATAACTGAACTTTCTTGTTTATCTGAATAGCAATGAATAGCAAAGTCAGATTTTCTGCTTCGAAAATGTGAGTTACGTGCAGGAACACTGGCTGTTCCAAGAACACTGTCTCAATTCCAAGAATGCAGAGAACAGACTTGTGTTCTTGTGGAGACTTGTGGACCTGGTCTTGCCAGGTGTCTTCGGAAGAACGAACTTGAGAGACCGCGAGAACAGAGAACGCATGCTGTGAGAAATGAGATGCTGCGTTTTTCCTGATTGTCACAGGACTTTCACGCGTTTTTAACTGAAAATCATTTAAACATTACAGCATTCATACAATGATTTGTTTTCCCCTTTTCAAAATATGCACTCTGCATAAAAACATTATAAATATACGTTGCACTATAAATAAAACAGATTTTATTACGAATTTCAGTAAAAAAACATCCTTAATGTGTTTATTCCTTTATTAAGATGTCCATGGAAATGTTTATATGTTTCATTTAGGGAAACTCCTGAGATAAATAAGTTATATCTCTGAACTTTAATTATAAATATATATAAAATGCTGCCTTCTTATTTCCAGTTGCAATGACTTCTGGGACTTCTAGAGCGAGATCGGTGCTAGTCTGCATCGGTGCATCCTTGATATCAAGAACATATCCGGGAAGTTTCAAGCATCCTCTGTTCTTGCGGTCTTGAGTATTGGAACTGAACTTTGGCAGTTGATGATGACGTTCCACAAGAACACGAGAAAGCAAGACCGCAGAAGAATGCATATTGAGAAACAGCCCTTGTCTTTGTTTTGTTTCTTTTAACCCGCCTAATGCCAGTTTAGCCAATTTTATTCTAGCACCACGGGTTGCCTTGGTGGAAAACATATTTTATTCATTTAGAAAAGCTCTCAAAGCAAGCATCTGTGACTGAAATGCGACCTCTGTTGGACAGAAGCAGAACCTGAAATGAGACGCAGATTCAGAGTTCCACATGAGGTTGTTATTAATTAGCAAATAACAAAAATATTACAAACTTAAATATATGGTGAGCAAGTTGCATTCCCATGACCTAACAACACGCTACATTACCAAATTTACAGTGATAAGAAATTTGGCTGTTTGCACCAGACGCAGCACGACAGAAAATTAAATACAGCCTTTCAGAAGCCCAGAATATGCACTCACACATGAAATGGTAATGTTTATAATCTAATTAATACATATTAAACCTCTTTAACATTATTAAATGTAGATGCTGAATCACTATGTGCATTATTTCAGAGTTATAAAATTAAATTTAAAATGATTTATTTTATTTTAAAGATCTGAGGTGAACTATCTGTCGCTGCTTTCAGCAGTATGGCAGCAGTATGGCAATAAATGTCTTGTAAAATAACATTCAAACTCACATTGTTAGCATTTACCACTGAATGAAGCACATGAGGTGTACCTGAGGTAATCATGTCATTAGGTTTTCTGTTATTCAGCTACCAAAAATAAAAGCCTTTTTTAAAATATAAATTTAATGAAAAAAATTATTTTACTATAAAAAATATTCCTTCAATTATGTGCTGTTGCTTTTATGTAGCACACAATTTAAATCAGCCTTAAATTAGCGTTAAGGCTTGATAGTCAGTCACACTCACATCAGTCTGGCAACCTGCGCTTGCATGTGTTTTGATCCAGGAATGCAATACCTACTTCAACCACTGGGTTTTAAACTTACATACTGCACCTTTAATCTTTGTAAATGTTAACCAAACATACATAAACATGTTAGTGCATTGGTTAACATGCTAATGGTCAAAAATGAATTTGTTTAGCCTTACATAATGTTTCTCAATAGTAACTTTAAAACTTCAGTGAAATAAAAATAAGATTTTTAGATGTTTGTATCAGTAGTGATAGAATATATAAAACCGATATAAACATGTAAAGCTTGTAGTTTGTCACTTCCGCCTAAATGGATCACCATTATTTTCACGTCATCTCATACTTCAGTTTCTCATCAAATATTGACCAATCAATTGCTCTCTAGTATCTGACATGCCCCATGCCCTCCTTATTTGTTTTTCATTTGATGCGCTTGAGCTCAACCACTCTCACTGGCCGAGCAGTGATAAAAAAAATACGCTATTTGCTATTTTTTAAAGGGGAAGAGCTACTCTATGTTCCACCCTCTCTGTTTTTCAGCTGAGATTACATCAATCATTGAATAAAAAATGCAGATTTCAATGCACTACACAGAACCTTTCACTTGCGTAAACTAGAAAAATTAAGTTTTGAGAATTAGAAAATTTAAGTTGCCCCAACTTGAAATATTAAGTTATGAGAGAAATAGTTCCAGCAACTAAAAAATTATGTTATGAAAACTAGAACAATTAAGCCATGAAAAGTAGAAACTTGCGTCAACTAAAATGTTTAAGTTAAATAAAATACAAGTTGCAGTAAAAATGATGTATTCAGTTGAAAGGGCATCCACTGCGTAAAAACATATGCCGGATATGTTGGTGGTTCAATCCGCTGTGGCGACCCCAGATTAATAAAGGAACTAAGCCGAAAAGAAAATGAATGAATGAAAAAAGTAAGTTTGAAAATATGCTTCAGTAAATAGAAATATTAAGCCAACTAGAAAAAAAATAAGTCATGAGAATCTGAAAAATGAAGTTGCTAAAACTAGAAAAATAAAGTTGATGCAACTCCTAAAAAAATAATCAGCCAATTAGAGAAATTAAATTGCAGTGAAAAAAAGTTCATTATTACCTATCATTAAATAGTTTATTATTTGTTTATGTTAACTAATGAATTAACTAAAACCAAACTTACAAATTATATTTATATATGTTGTTCATTGTTATATCATGCCATCTAATTCACTTAGAATACATTAGGTCAAGTAAACATTAAGCTGTTAATGCAGAGCGATACATTAGAATGTTAACATAAACAAATGAAGAGTTCAGATGCAAAAAAGTCCCATCTGAAATTTTGTTCTAAAATGAGCATTTTTTCCAGGCACCTTTGTCTGGGTTCAGTAATTTCACTTTTATGGTAAAGAATAGGTTGTCCCTTAAACATGAAATAGCTGAACATAAACTTTTTGATGAACGAATTTCATTGTTCATCATTAGTTCATGTTAACCAACACATTAACTAACGCAAAATGCATAACAATATGTTTGGTTAACATTAACAAAGATTAAGTAATGCTTAACAGATTTGTTCTTGTTAATTCATGTAAACTAATGCAATAATAACTAATAACATCTTATTGTAAAGTGGTAATGCAACTCATGTATGAAGACTTGCAAATGAAGAGTAGAATTTTTTTTTTCTCTTTTTGTCTCACAATGCAAAGCAAATATACTTCAAAGTATTGAAGTTGAAATGAAGAACCACTCATACAGTATGTTTGAAGGCTGCATATCCCTTTGGTTTACTCTCTTTTTTTCTAATCTTATGTTTTAATGCTCACTTTTGTTAAACATATGTGTCCTACTTTCCCCAACTGATGACGCAGTCTCTCATGAGGCAGTGAATGAAGATTGACTCACATCTTCTATTATCTACACGAAATGAGGGGTGATTCATAATGTTGAAATGACACACAAAAACAATTTGATCCTGCTTCTACACTGAAATGTAAAAATATATTTTTAAGCAAAATCGTAATTTTCCTTAGAGCATGTGTATTCAGTGAGGTTTTTTTTCTTCTTTTGATGTATATTCTATGGGTGTTATAAAGGGAACTGTTTGCATTCACAGAGGATTGTAGTCTTTTATGTTTTGCTGCAGAAAAACCTTTCACTGTTGTTGGGAATGCTTTGGAGCTGTAGGCTGTCATGCTAAGCTACCGTTTTAAAAAGATACTGTGCCCAAAAAGCCAAAATGGAAAATAAATGGATTTTTTTTTCTTTTTGAACACAAAAGAACAGTTTAAGAAGGAGGGAAAAGGAAGGCAAAGGAAAAAAATGTTTTTCACACAAAAACGGAATTTTAAATTTACAATATTTGCTTTTTGTGAACTGACTGAATATGTGGAGTTAAATATTATTTAACAACAAAGGTTTAATATCAAAGGCATTTGTCTTTCTCTAGAGACAATGGAGTTTGAACCCAGGTCAGTCTGTGGTGGAGTTGCAGTGCCTGCTGTGGCTAAACTGTCCAATGCGCAAGTCTGCTTTTATTCATATTTTTAAGAGTATACT